AAAGTCTAGATCGGGCTTGGTTCGAAAGAACCGCCGAATTACTTCGAAGCGAACAGTTTCGCTTCACACCCGCACGTTTCACTAAAAATTTCATTAAGAAGTGAGTGAAAACATTTCCTTCCAGAAAACGACGCAATCATCGATCTACATGAACCAAAGAATTTCACTTCCAGAATTCATCTGCGTATGTGGCTAATCCAAAACAAAGTTCCAGCTATATTCATAAGGACAAGGTTGGGTAAACACCTGAAACGTGTTTGAACGACAACAGTCCATTCAAAGAGATAATAATCCAGATACTAGCTACATAAGCTTTAATCACACGAAGAACGCGACTCGATATGAACGAGTCGGGCCTGAAAAGAAGTTCCTCGACGTAACTGCGGTGAGTGAAGACTCCCATATTCCTATAGAAAAGAGTAAAACCTCCCAGTCCAAGAACCTGACTAAATGAACACAGCATGTGAACACGTGTGACTTCCAAATCGCGTATTAAACATGGGTAATAGTTATACCAATCATCGCAAAGAAGAAAACAAGTAAAACTCAGGAAACTACTATGCAGGATTCTGCGTTAAGCAGATGCCGAACAGTCTCCTAGTGAAGGGAAATAACAATTCCACTTGACCGACACGATTTGTGTTGTGCTGGTGAAAGTCGCGCGAAAACTTAACCCATGAAACTTTCAGTGGGCCCAGTTGTGCATAAAATGAAATTCTGCCTGCCACGGATTTCATCACAAGATAAATGAACTTCAATTACCAATTTCATGTACAAATCCCTCAGCTTAGCTCGATGGGAGCGTTCTGGTTACGGCACGCAGAAATGAAAGTGCGTTAGAACATGTCGTAACAAACCCTTCAGTGTATATTACTATTAATGTGCTACGACTCATTAGGATTTAAAAACATGAATAAAGGGAAAACTAGAGTAGGTATATTTGGTACGCTGCCATTTCTCTGTTGGGTATCAGGTCCTCCATTCTTCAGTCAACAGGTAATACAGTTTTCAGTGAGGTAAAATAAATCCACATACTCTTGGGACAATGCCTTAAAGATGGCTCTCTATTCCGACGGAACTGCTCGCTTCGATACTTTCTATTCTTCCACCTGAGAAACTTACCATCCTAGCCCTTCACGCTCTTTTCGCTCGCTTTTTATAATCGTCGAACCTTGGAACTCACGCCCAAGTCTCCATAGGACTAGTTCGCGCTAGTTTTTTGGCAAGTTGAGAGTCACCAGTATGTGAAGATATCAGTGGCGACTCAGTCTCTAATGAGCAGGTGTATTTCTCGGTTTGTGCTGGAAAAAGAACAGCAACATGGAATGGAAATCTGAAGTGGATACATAGATGGCGTTTCACAACATGAACGTGGAAGAATGAAGTGAGCTGTAGGGGCTTTGTACATAAGTATGTAGGCTTGAGTGGAGAGAAAACTCCTCCTTTACCTAGTGGATGAAACGCCCCTGGTTCAGAGCAAGCACAAAGCTCTGAGAAAGTATGATAGGTGACGGTACAACCGACATTATCCGATGAGATCTAATATATGACGATGGCGTAAAGTAGATTAAACAACCATCTCAAGTGATAAAAGTTAATTACCAAAAAAGACAATACCAGTAATGGCCAGACTAATGCAAAAATTGAGGCTAACAGAACGGTGTCTGAAAATCATTTGGAAATTGACACAAGGGTCCAGTCATGAGGCACGTGGCAGCAAGACTGGTGGGATGAGCTCTAATATATGACGATGGCGTAAAGTAGATTAAACAACCATCTCAAGTGATAAAAGTTAATTACCAAAAAAGAAAATACCAGTAATGGCCAGACTAATGCAAAAATTGAGGCTAACAGAACGGTGTCTGAAAATCATTTGGAAATTGACACAAGGGTCCAGTCATGAGGCACGTGGCAGTCTTGCCGATTCAGTGAGTATAGAAATGATAAATAAATCTGACTTGGATCAATAAAAATCCCCAGACGCGCTTGAGCAACTGCCCGATTTGTATGTTCAATATTCTATGGATGGACTGGTGGTGAAGACAGCGTTAGTTTAGGCTACAACATAGTTCCTTCTTACATTTTTTCTTCTGCATAGAAAGTTATGAGAAGAAACAAATCAAAAACTGGTTCATATCTTCTCTTACTAGGGGCTCCTGCTGGTGTCATCGGATTCGGTGGCATCAGCGTCCACTCCCACGTCTTGGATTGGGACTATTGACCCCAACACGCGAGATTGCCCCATCTCTTCGGATCAATTATCGCAAGTTCAATTACTGTTCACAGGGAACCTTTCTTAACTTCTGACGTACATATGAAGACTAATAGAATAGTTCTCATGTACTGCACATGCTGACGAATAGAGATAGAACGAAAATGATCGTCTACAGCAGGAGGTTTACAGATACATTTGATTTATTGCACTACTTACACCTTTCAAGTTTGCAAAACATATGAGACAAAAGTGATTGCTTTCGAGAAAGCTTTCAAAAAATGAAGATACACCAAGAAGTTTACCACCGGTGAAACTTAAGTGAAGTTCCGCAGACTGAATATTTCTATCTGGAAGTCCTGAACAGATGGTAACGTCGAAAACAGTCATGAACGTACGTGGAACGATCGTTACTTTGCAGGAATGGACTCAAAACAGGATGCCAAAAGAGATGAAGAAAACTTCTACGCACCAAGAGGGAACATATTAAAGTTACGCTTGAAGTCTAGGATGTTCAGAATAGAATGAGCAAAAACCACACGCTCACGACATGTATCAACGGAGCATGCGAATAGTGGAATCTTGGATTGCTTACAGAAATACATATATCTGGACAGCGAAGCCTTAGAGAAACAATAAACTTATTTAGCGAAAAAAGACAAGGTAGAAGACGACTAAAGAGTCCGGAAGATACCTCAAGTCAAGTCCCGAGCTCGTACCTCATAATGCTTTCAGACCTTGAACTAGGAAGAAGACCCAAACACATCATAATTTAGAAAAAATAGGTACGAAAGGTACAAGCAATTAACAAAAGCGCATGAAAGAGGGAGAAAGTATAAGGTAGGACGTGCAGAGAGCACAAGGTTAGTAAAAGTTGGTTATTACTGAATAGTAACCTGTATAAGGTGTTGAACGAAAGCACAATCACACGGCAAACAATTTAAACAACACGCGATCAACCACACTGGCCTGACTCGCAGGGGAACCAAAGACCACAGACCCGGTAGGTACAACAGCAGGGGCTATAGCTATGGAATAAATGGATAGATTGCAAGTAACAAGCACTAAGGCCAGAACTGAAGCGGACATATGTCTCAGAATCAGAAAATTGCAAGTTACGAAGACTTTTGGCCGTAACTAGATAAGTTATTGACTAAGCTAGGCAGTACGTAAGTATTTATTGCATCTTCTGTTTATTCAACAAAACTCTCACCTTCACATGCTGGCCACAGGAGCATATGCTATTATTCCGAAAACAATACATCAGATTTACACATATCACCTACCATATCTCGACCATAAAAAAACACATGCCGAAATCCAAAAAGAAAGTTCCTTATGATGCAACGCATTCCTGACAAATAGACTTGACGTAGGAATATTTTTTCTCATAATAACTCCTCTTATAAATACATATACAACTTTCTCATAAAGAATGATATATGACAGTTAGAGAGAACTTACAAGGATCGGCGAATCTAAAGATCAGATGTTTTCCCCTTCGTGCACTGAACTCGATCAGTTCCCTTGTGACTTCAAGACCAGAAGATAGGGCCAAATCAAGTGAACAGTCCCATCGTAAGGGAAGTAAGATTAATACTGAGGCCACTAATAATGAATATCACTGAAATTTACCTTCAAACTTCGAATCAACTGCAGTTTCCAATCTACGGCGAGGTGCGACAGGCCCTTTCGCATCACTACTGCTTTATGCGCGCTGGCAGATTGAAACAGATACAATATGGCGCCGGACGATTCTAACCCTCGACGGAATGGATATCGGTGATATGAAATAGAACTATGTGAAACAAAAGACGCTTAAGTTATACTAACCTGCCCATGAGGTAAAGTACGACGGGCTGGCTGGACAAGCTGGTGAAAAAATGACAGCGAGCGGATAAGAAAGGTAAATGTGAAGGAAACAAGCTTCGCACAATAGTTTTCTGCTGTGTAAACTGGTATATTGACGAGCATGTGGACCTCACGGCATAAGAGAAGTGACCTGCTAAATCAATCTACTGATGACTTGGTAACCTGGAGAAAGGATCGCTTGCTACAATCTGCATTCACAAATCACAACAAACCAAATAAAAGAATGAAAGGAAACAAGAGTATAGTCGTGCTGGATAGTAAGAAAAACCAAGAGACATACAAAACAATTACCACTGGATAGAATGATCAGGCGCATTTCGGCATATTATGAAAACGTTGTCAAAACGATGAATAGATGACAACCACCACCGAAAGGATTGATCTGTGGTGTCAAATATCCTTATTATATCTTACTACAAGTATCATTAGGACAAAGATGGAATATAGAGCCTCTTGGTTTGAAGGAGTGCAGCCCAATAAGAAGATGATACAAGATTTCGTCCGTTAGGTCTGAATGCAGAGGTCAGAACAGTATAACGTGCATTCTCCAGACATCGACAACAAAATTGAAGGCATCCAATTCCATGCATTTAGGACTGAAAAAATTGACAGCTTAGCAGTATAGAACTGTAACTCAACATGGTCCCTTCGAAATTGTCTCGTGATATTGTACACATTAGTACTTGCCTGTGGTAGCCTGCGGACCCATTGTCTCGAATGATTCTAACTTGATCACCAACTTCATTCTTGAATGTAAACCAGGTGGCTTTGAAGAGCCAACAATGATTTGCTCGAATGGCATGAGACAATCGATGCAATTGAGAAATTAAGATCAAAATCCTGGTCCAAGCAGTGATTTCCTGTCTACGTTGCAATGCTCTGGAACAAAGTAATGATCACTGAGACACTAACAATGAAAGTCGGAAGAGGCTCTCCAGCCGCCTAAAGGGAGTACAAGAGGTGCAGAGATTTTTTCTTGATTTGCTCGAATCAGCATATATGAAGGAAGTTTACTTTTACAATATCATCCAGACTTTCCTAAAGGATTTCTGAGGAGTACATAAATCATGCAAAGTTCAAAGCTTGTACGACCAGAACACTGCTGCTGTTGTCTGGATTATACACAATAGCCACTTACTTTATAGTCTAGGCCATCATTTATTTCGTATAAATGATCCCTCACCGTATGTTCAATGTTGGTTTTCTGGTCACAAGACCCCCAGGGATACATACTATAATCAGATGAATCATTCCACTATTTTTTGGCCTGCAGAACCGAAGAAATAGACTGGGGCAGACAAAATTTACCACCAGTAACCAAACAACCCAAAAAGCCGTCTATACTTAGAGTACTCTGTTCAAGAAGGATAGTTAAGAGAAATCAACCGAGAGTTGTACATTCTTTTGTGTTATAGGCCGAGCAATCGAGCCTCTTGCAAGGTCTCCGACTAGATCAGCCTAGATCACAAGAGACGTCTCCAACCTTGCCCTCATCTGAGCTGACAGATGAATGATATGAAATTTCAGTCATTCTCCCTCAGCTTTCAAAATAGGAACCACTAGAGGATGCCATTGTGCCATCCATACAATCGCCCAGCTGTAAACAACCAACACATTTTTTGCTCATTCACGGCCCTGAATGAAGAGCGACCAACATTGAAGAAGAACCAGAGTCCTTTCCACTGACAAGCAAGAGATCAATGAACACGAAAGACCTTCTAAGAATGTAGTATTGTTCAAATCAGCTCGTATTTCGGCAATTCCAAACATATCCTACGTCTCCGAGAGCAGGAGTGAGGAGCACAGTGAAGCTAATACAACCAGCGAAAAGGCGAGGCACAGGTCATACTCACATCAAATAACAGCATATCACTGCCGTATTCACCAGCAACATATGCAATCTGAAAAGCAACAAGCAGCAGATCAGGACTTCCAGAGCACGTATGCACACAGATTCGGACCAGTAGCCTAGAGAAATCCGGCTGCTGTGAGAAAACTTCACAGAAACGCGAGATCCGAGAGCTTACTTGTTCGCAGCGGACCCCTTGTCATACCAAAGCTTGACGCTCAAAGTGCCGACCAGACTCGCGAAGAGGAAGTACACAGACGTCAAGAGAAATCCCGCAGCCATCGCGAATCCAGAGGAGCCCCTACGAAGTTTCAATCCGCTTCAGATTTCACCAATCTCTCGTCGCAGCTTCACATAACAACCAGATCGATAGCGCACGATCGATCTCTCTGCTCACGGGGCTCCTTCCGCTGTGATCTGATCGAACTCGTCTCCTCTTGTCCTCCTCCTGCGTCAGAAGAAGGCCCTCTCGAGCGATTACTGTGAAGACAGTATACAGAGTCCAGACAGACAGTCAGGCACTCGACCTCTGGCTCATTAGCGAGAGCCAGCCACTGTACCCTTGCCACGTTGTCCCTCCCGCCTGTCCACGTCGGTTCGCCTCCGATCCCTTCCCTTCTCACCATTCCCGTTCTGCAGCGTGCTCGAGTACCCCTTCCATCTCTAAAAGCTCAATCTACGGCAATTTGCCTTCTCCCTCCTCCTCCTTCCTTCCTTTCGTCTCCCTTTCGGCTTCGACTGTACAACCGACCTATCGCAGTGTGAATGCGGCCCACTTCACGAGCGCCCGTGGTGGGAGCTCGACGTGGGCATCGACGTAGTTACCCCGTTCCTCCGGCACCAAAGGAATCGAAATCAGGGTAACCGCGTTAAGGTTGTATTCGTCAGGTGTCTAACTATGTTCACATTTCGTCTCGTTTGTTGGTTTGTTTTGTGGTCACCACGTTGGTATGTTTTGCAGTTGTCCGAGTACAAAGCTTAAGTATACTATTTGGTTTGTTGTAGTTACCATCATTGAAGTAGTATATGCACTCTTAATCATTCTTGAGAATATTGTTAACCGTAATATTTATACCTCGGCAAGATAGAGTAAAATATTTTTTATTGGCGGTTAAATGTGTAAAGGTAACCAAGGTATAAGGTAGAGTAAAGGTAGAGCCAATTTACCTAACCCTTTATTGAAACAATTACTAGTTAACTTGGCAGTTTGATTAATTACGCATTTGATTGCAGTTTGATTAATTGGCAGATTTTGTTAACTTGGTTAATCATGCCGCTCTAGTAGAGTGAGCATATTCATATGTCGACGGTCTGAGTGATCAAGATGAGTGACGTTGGCAATACCTACGAAATTTTTAATAGTGTTAACAAATTTGACGGCGACAACAAAGAGAAAAATTACAACTTTGCAAAATTTATATTGGTGGTGATCTCGTGCAACTCCAAGCGTAAGCGACAGAAGTTCAATTTCTCGCGGATGTATGTACACGATTGGCAATCTGGTGATACCTCAAAGAAGCACAACAAACAAACGCAAATGCACGTTGTGTAAAAGATGTTACTCCTAGAAGATCAATGCGCAAGGTTAGAAGTTTCATTTGAAAACAGCACACGGAGTCAAAGTTAGGTAAGTATCTTACTCAAAATCGTTGTTATCATCTTTAGTTAGTTGGAACTAAAGTAGAGATTACTCTAAATGTTGATATAGATATTTTAGCGTGCACTACTCATAGCCGGCAAGTAAGCGATTCGCGTGCTTGGTAGGTTGAGTGTAGGTGTGTTAGTTGACAATATCACACCAACGATCCGTATGTTTTTTAAATAAGAATTGAGTGTGTTAGTTGGAAGCTTCACATCAGCAATCCGTGTGTTTGTTAGGATTATCCGTCATATCATCTATTCACTAGGAGTGGGATGGATGGTGAGGATCATATCTTATCTTCTTGCACTTGTTGGTGGAAGCTATATAATGGAAATGATAATCATTGTTAGTATCTCTCATCTTTAGAGTTTATGTTTACATCTTAGAACGAACTTCTCTCTAAATCTTAGTGTTACAACCGCTTGCCAAATGTTTGACACTATCCACGATTGACAAATTTGTGTTCTTGGAACTTGCATTACGAACGTCTGAGAATGCTGTCGTTGATAACATCATTGGCATTGATGTGATCAGGCGCGATTTTGGCGATGAGCTATTCAAAGTTATGGTATCCGTGCTTACGAATAGATCCAAGTTGCTGTCAACGTGAACAATTTGGTATGTAGCCTACAACACTAACGTTGATCAACGTCGGTGTTATAATTTCAACGTGTTGAAATTGTACTTTTCGCACAACTAAAGGTATAGGAAGTGACATTCTTACGCGATTGCTAATCGTGATTAACGACAAAGACTCTAATGCGGAAAATATAGAAAAGCGTCTTTTCTAATTGATCAATGCATGAGTTGGCTATGAGTAGATGTCAAATTGCAATCACGTATGTTACGTCGATCATTAAATTCAACTTGTTGTCAAGTTACTGAGTTTCACAAAGAATTTAATGGGAACGTTGGGCGATGCGTTCGTCAAGATTCGTTGTAGCAAGTAATGCCGTAGTAATATCGCTTGGAGTCCGCGATCTCAGCACCAAAAAGCTAACACACTAGTATTCTTCAACGCACTTGAATTCCATGTATCATATAGGGGTCAACCCTTTTAATAAGCGTGTTGTTGTTGATAGTAACATGTAGTAGTTCGCAAGTGACATCGATTGTTTCACTCTCAACGATGATCAATGGCATGTGATCTACGGTGTGACTACCTTCTAGCACAAATCACACTAGATCATGCAAAATCTTATCACATATCACAAACCGACACTTGACCTGCTGCCGCTATTCATTGCTCATCTTGTGAAGCATTGTAAAACAAATAAGGTGCAACTGTTAGATTCAATCCCAAAATTATAGTAGTCGAAATGCAAAATAAGATTGAAGAATATGAAAAATCGCAAGTGCTAGAACCCACCACAGTTGCATTCTACCTCAACCAAAAGATATCAAAAGCATCTAAACTTGTGTAACTAAAAAAGTTGATAGATCTCATTTGATCCAAACTTCAACGTCGCTACTTGATAGAGTTGCAGTCTTGCAATTCAACTGTAAAGCATGAAGATCCAACCAACACGCTTTTCAATATCATATTTTAGCCATAGGACAATAATAGCATGCTCAATGAAGTATATCAATTTCTATCAATCAGCCTCGTCTAATGTAAGGATTTTATCTACATCTTGTCTTGATGGTCAACTCGCATGGAAATCCTGCCTGTTCATTATCAGATGATCTTGGATTAATCTTGGGACGCCGGCAACATCAACGTCATCTGAGCGTGTCAATTGGCGATTGAACAAGATGATTGATTAGAGAAAGTCCTTGATGACGACGTCGTGCAGATGCTCAACAACCAATTCAAAAGAATGATCTTTGAGGTCAATTTAAACTGAAATGTACTTAAATAAACATTGTGAAAAGTGTGTTGGCAATTTGAATTCTGTATTTTTGTATTCTTATTGGGGTAATTACCGGCATAATGGGTAAAATAAAGATAGAAGTATGTGTAAAGCATGATCATTGTGGTAAGAAGAGTTGTAAAGTTAGTTAGAGTACATTTTATTATCCGTTAAACATTTACCTTACCTAGCCAAAATCTAACTCATATTTCTTAGGTTTTTACTAGCAACATTTTTTTAGTTTTTTCAATAACAATTTATAAATTATCAGTCGATAAATAATTTTTGTACATATAGAAAACAAGATGAAGACATCTAAAGATACAAAGAGATCTTAATGTGATTACGCGCATGTTTTCATTCACATCCTTATTTTATAACATATTTTGATACTCCTTATATGTATATATGAAGCAAATATTTCATGAATACATGAAATGTTATTTTTTATTTTTAAGTAGTTTAGAGGCAATCTTTTCATTTTAAAAAAAATCAATCAACACATTAATATATATAGGATATGCAATAATAAATCTTAATGTAATGAAAAATATGATATAGAACATATTTATTCAAATCAAGTAGCATAAAAATGTAAAAACTAAAAGAATGTGACATTTGTTTAACCATTCAAAATGAAAAATCATAAGAATTTTTAATATAAGAATTTTCAACATATACTACATCAATTTACTATATTTTCAAACTTGTAGAATATTTGTCAACATGTGATTTGTATTTATCAACTAAATTTAAATAAATAACATCAAAATTATATCAAATAGATTATTTATGGCTCTAAAAAAAGTATTTCAATTTTTTTACATACTAAATTATATTATCAGAAAATTTTAAATTTATGTCATAAAAACATAGTAATATCAATCATATAAAAAAGAATATTATTTATATCAAATTTAGTTTTTGTTCAATTTTTTTAGCTACTTAAAGTTTACAGTCAAAATGAATTTTAGCTTTAAATCTGTGAATTTTAATGGATCTAATGATATAGATTTCTGAAAAAATAATGATCTTTAAATACAAAGAAATTTTTCTGTGTCTTGAAATTCATTTATAACAAATAAATTCTTAATTTTACACAATATATTTATTTTGATGTATTATATGACATTGATGCAACATGAAAACTCATATTTAATTTTTTCTATGTACTTCCTTGTATAAATGACCAATTTTTTCACAGTTAATATTCATTTTTATAAAAAATTCCATTTTCAGGTAATTTTTTCAATCATTATAAAATATCTATTATAAATTTTAAATACGTTTTTGTTTAAAAAAAGTTTATCTTGATTTAATATTTGATGTCAAACATAAATACATGAAATACTACTAGTTGACAGTTGAAATAATCAATTTTAAATTTCCAAGGAAGATTTAATATATAGATTATATATGATAAAAAACTACGTACGAAGATTTTATAATCTGCACGATGTGATATAGATATAACATTGTGAATCTTAATATGAAAAAAGAAAATTAAACATATATTAAATTAGAAATAAATAAATTTAAACAATTTTTGCTCCAATCTTTCTTTTCCAAATAGATTTTTTTAGCTATTTAAAACATTTTATTTACAATAATTTTAATAAATAGCAAGTAATCATCAAAAGTGATTATTCTTGATACATTATCAAAATTTCAAGTTGTATCTTACTTGCACACAAAAAGGTAAATTAAAAAATTTAAGATTTTGTTTTATGTTTTGTAATCAATTACATATATTCATTCAATTTTGTCAAATCATATATATATATATATATGTATTATGTATAAAATTTCCAAAATTCCAAAAAATTCAATGCAATTATTAAAATAAATTAAAAAAACCAAAAGATATAAACATATCTTTATCAAATATGTGATTACACTGAATTCAAAAATATACATACACAAGTATATAGAATCTATTAATCAATCATCATCTAATAGAAAAACAATACAAAATTTTATAATGTAACAAGTAATATTATTAAGTATACCAAA